TTAATGTCAGATTTGCAGAAGTAGTTCATTAAGAAGAGAAGGGAAAAGTTAGAACCAAAGAAAAGGATTAAAGAATCTTGCAACTGGAAACCTAAATTTTAAAGTTTGGAACAAATAAACACTCTTACTGATAAAAATTACCCCAAATTAAATGTAAATCTCCAGTATCAACAATAGTGACTGCTTTAGTCTCATAGTCTGAGGTCTTTTACCTTTTCTTTTCTTTTTTATTTTATTTTTTTGTTTGTTTTCTTTTTTAAAAATCTTATACCAAACCTTAACTTTCATATTTGTGAAATTAAAGGTTAAACAATAAAAACATCAGAGTTTGAAGTATTACAATGATTGTTTTTTCTTCAAGAATATGACTCATGTACTATTTTATAATAACACTCAGGAAGTAGAAATTATTTGCATGAACAATAGCTTGGGGTTGTAGGGATTATGTGTGAAAGTGAAAGGAGAGAGAAATACTTTTATAGGTCTGATAGTCTTCACTTAGGTATAATACAATGAAATATGATATTATCCACTAAGGACAAGAGCAATACTTCCTACTTTGAACCAGGTATCACCAGGTATGATTCTTGCAGTTTTTATTACCTCACATTCAGTATCAAACACATGCAAGTCATCTGACCTACAGAGGAGGGGGTGAACAAAAAGATTCGTTTTGTTGAGAAAAGGAATATATATGAAAGTAATGCTTACTTAACAAAGTGTGAAAAAACACAGCTCATTTTACTTGTTGAGACTGATAAGAACATCCTAAGCATCTTTCATGGGTTTTTATTTGTGCATTTAGAGCACAGTGCGGTAAAGCACAAGATAAAGCTGCAGAAGAGACGCAGTTGCACATGGCGCCCTAGGAACCAAAGGGCTTCAGCCAGCTTACGTTCACAGACTTGAATCAACCTTTCTGCCTCCAGCATCTCCATTTTGCCCCCTCCCCACCCACGCAAGTGCAGGCATCACAGGCGGAAGGGAAGTTTATTCTCCATAAACAATTCTCTCTTTGGCCACTCTTTGAGCGTGCCAACCAGGTTGCCAATTCTGATGTAGACACCTGTCCATTTGGAACAGGAATGAAAACAGCCACTCATTTCCTAGAAACCATCAAACACCCTGTCAGGGAACAACAGCTCTCTGCTAACTGCAATCTGGGCAAGACATGAACGGGTCACGTCGATAGCCAATTACCAATCCTCTGAGCCATTCAGCTTCCTTTAGATTGATGAAAGTTCCTGATTCCTTCACTGCATATAGTTTTAAGAGGGTTCTCTTTTAATCACTGTGATACTAAGCTGCTAAAACTTGAATTTCTCTTGGGCAATAGGCTTTTTTAAAACACTGCTAAGCAGAACTTGCAAATGAGAGTACAAGGCCAATCTGTATTTTAAGGTAACTGCCTGAATGATGGCATCTTCATTGTTCAAACAACAAAAAAAGTGATTTTTAACTATATGGTTATTGGACTCTGGAAATTTTGCATAATTTCAAATAAAAGTGTGGACGTTTCCCTGTGTGTGTGTGTGTGGGGGGGGGGCTCTCAGCTCTTTATCTTGTTCTTTGTCCTGTAAGACACTGGCTTGGTGTCTCTAAGGACGACACCCTCATGAATCCTGGATGCAGAATATTTTAGGTTAGTGCTGCCTATGATTTTCAGATGAAATGTCACTACTGAAGTGAACTTTGGGAGAAGCCTGGGTCCCGAGTTTACGAGCTCCTCCCTGGCGGAGGCTGGAGACTAATGTGGGTTTAATGTTGTTATGAGCTAGGCGGCTGAGCGGGGTAACAATACGAGTCTGTTGGACATGTCTTCTGGGTTGTCACGTTCAATTTGCACATGACCTCCTGGCCAAAAAATGGGAAAGAAGTGGTAGAATGTGGGACTGAAAGCTCATATTATTGCTTTGACAGCTTCACTCATCTAGAAGTAATGCAAAATGCAATTTATATTTATACACTCTGACCTCCTGCGCAGAGAGGGAAAGTATCTAATGATGGGCCGAGGTACTGGAGGAAGAAATAGATCTCAATACAGCTGGAATTTGTCTACATTTTTGCTTTTCAACCATTCAATTACAGTCAAAAGATAAATGAAACACGAACAGCACACTGGTGAGGTAGTGACACAATTATTTTATAGTGACTGGGTTCTGGCTTTGAGTCTTGGCAAAGGTGTCCACAACACGCCTTATTTCACTGGAGACAGATAATCTGTCTGCTCCCACTGGACAAAGGCCCTCTGCTTGTAGGTGCGTCATTACGCCCATCAGAGAGGAAAAAAGACACCAGCGAGTCAGTGACACTCCAGATCTGCATTTGGAAATTCTTGAGAGGGGCTGACACGTTAATCCTATTAACCAAGATAAATCAAGTCAGGCCTGGTGGTAACTGGGGCATTATTCACTTTCGAGTGGAAAGAGGCAGTAGGCAGAAAGCACCATTTTCTTTTGTGCATCGGGAAATTTACTGGCTTTTACATGCCCTCAAATAGCTTCCTTCTGAATAGAGTCCACGAGCTAACTGGGGAGAATGGGACTATAATTGTCAGCATCTTCAAATATGTCCTGAGGATTTCAGAACAGGGTTTTAAACCCATACTGTTTCTAGGACCTACGGCCTCATAGTCTCTCTAAAAGTAGGACATGCAAGGAAAAGGAGTCTGGCCCTGTCCAGAGACTAAAAGGGACAGTAATCATCACCTTCTTTAAGGCAGCAGCTCCTGCATGGCTGACCGCAAACTACCACTTGAACATGTTTGTGTCAAAGGTTATATGAGAGACCCACAGATCAACCTTGAGAAATAAAGAGAAATGGGAGATTGCAATAAACAGTGCACTGGAGTATTCCTAAAATGATTGCTAAACAAGTGCATTTGTCTATATTTTTGCTAATTTTTTCTTAACTTTTACTCTTTGGGGGATAAAGGGCTGCCACTGCACAAGTTTTCCTTACACGTATTAAACTTCTCCCCACTATGTCCCACCGGTAAGTTCTGATGCAGAAGACAGGAATGCATTTTTTTTTCTTTTTTCTTAACTGAACAGAATGTTCTGTGTGGGGGAATATCAAATAACACAGACTCTCAGATCAAATCTTTCTACTTTCCCTCTCTTATCACAGTTTATGACACAAACTCTCCACCCCAAGGGGAAAAAAAGGGAGCTCACTTGTAGAGTTCAGCTGGTCAATTTCCGTAGGTTTCCTTTAGGGAACAGAATGTGGTTTGGGTTTTAAGATATTGTTTCTAAGATTTTACTAGATTCCCAGTGCAGAAAAAAATTAGCAGACAGGGTGTGAATTGGAGAGAGATGGCCACAGGAAGTCTGGAATCCCAGTCACACAAGAGAATCAGGGTATCAGTCTCTTGGGGATGCTCCGAGGAGGCAGGGTACCACACCTGGGGTAAGTTAAGTATAGGTTGTTTCTGCTCGACAGCTGGAAGACAATAACCTCACAGCCCCTCTCCAGTTGTGGGTCTTTGAAGAGGAGCTCTGGGGTTGGACGTGGGGCCCAGAGGTCACAGGGAGACCGTCTCCATGAGGACACCATCTTTATGAGGAAACTCCTTCCTTCCTGGTTTAAACAAACTCGGGGCAAGATGGCTTCCCTGGTCTGGTGAAGAATCTGCCTGCAATGCAGGAGACCCAGGTTCGATCCCTGGGTTGGGAAGAGCCCCTGGAGCAACCCACTCCAGTGTTCTTGCCTGGAGAGTTCCATAGGCAGAGGTGCCTGGAGAATCCCGTAGACAGAGGAGCCTACGGTCCATGGGGTCACAAAGAGTCGGACACGACAGAGTGACTAACACTTTTGGGACGAAATAAGACACCAGGAAGACAGCTGCTGGGTTTCTGGTTCCGTCCTCCTTTCCCAGGTACCTGCCCCCTCCCCCACACCGGCTTTCCTCCTGGTGCCGTCACAGCCATTGCTTCTCCGAGGACGAGCTGAAAAATGGCCGAAGACACCCTGGCTGCCATCAGCACGTGAGGGTATTCCCAGGTGCCTTTCCGGGGGTAGGCAGGTGCTCTTTCTAAACACACAATGGTGGCAAAGAGGGCTGTTCCAGAGACGTGGGAAGGATGGGAAGCCAGCGGTCTCCTTGAGGGGCTCATCCTCGCTTTGAACTCCACGGACCTGGGGCCTGCGGGACACAGGAGGCGCCAACTCCCCCGTCCTTTGCAGGAGGCGGCGGCTGGGGGCGGGTGGTGCAGAACTGGGTCCTGGGGAGCTCCTCAAATCCGCTGAGATGAATGGCAATGCGTGTGAACTCTTCACGCTCACCGGCTGGAGAGGGAATCTCGAATCAATCTTTCCATTTTGATTCAGGCTTCTGAAAACAGTTATAAGAGGAGACTGACTAAAGACATGATTTCAATCAGTTACATAACCAAGCCTCGTGGGAAGCTCATGGGATGCTGACGGAAGTGACCTGGGTACCATTCTTCTATCTGTTCCCATCCTGTTCTGTTCCTCTCGGCAAAGCCCCCTTCCCATGAAAAAATGAACCCCAAAGTGCAACAGGGCTCTTCTCATTTTGAGGAACACGCCTTCGCAGCACGTGAGCGCGCAGCCCCCAGATCCAGAACTTTCCGGCAGAGGCGCCGGGGGCCTAGCCCGGGAGCTGGCAAGGCGGGTCCCTGGGACCCGGGTCGTCGGGGCGCATCCGCGCGGGGCCCCACGTCCCCGGGCCGGTCCCGCGGGAGTTAAACCCGGAGGCAGACAAAAGGGAGGCGGCCGCGGTTCCTCCTCTCGGCTCTCAGTTGAAAATAGAACGGCTGCCCTCTGGACTTTAACTCCCGCCCGAAAGGGCATTTTATTACAGGTTATGACAAGTTGCCGAGAGACACGCAGAACTCAATAAGAAGGAGCGGCGAGCGGCATCACAGATGCTCGAGATGTTTGGGAGACAGAGCGGAGATGGCTTCAAATGATAGGTGTTAGCAGGGCTCGAGATGGAATCTGCGGGGCCGGCGGGCGGGAGGGGCGGCGCGGGGATGGGGAGGTCGGGGTCCCCGCCTCCCGCGCCGCCCGAGACCCCTGCGACCTCCCCTCCGCCTCCTCCAGCGACTGCTGCGACCGACCTTCCCAGAAGGTTCGCGCCAGCCGCGCCGCCCAACTTGGCTACTTTGCGTTTTCCGACTCCACGCAGGGAAGCCTGCACTTTCCCCTCCTCCCCGGGTTCTGTTTCTCTCTGAACCTCTGGGAGAACAGGGGTGTTCCTCTGGGAACCTGTGTGGTGCTCCATACACACTTCCACTTTCGGTTTTTCTCGGAGTTTCTCTCTTCCCATCTAGTTAAAGCAGAAATAAAGGACCTCAAGCGGAGAGTTCTATTTTTTTTCTGCCAGCTGGGAGATGCGCCTTTTGGGGTTTCTGTTTAAGTCAGCCCTCCAGTCCTAACTGCTGCTCAGGGTCCCGCTAACCCGAGCTGATTCTGCAGAATGAGGAACACAACCTCAACCCCTTTCTCCCCGGCCGCCTTTCAGATGCTTTTCATCAGCCATCGCCCGTGGAAAATAGTTCTGTCTCCGCGAGTGCTCAGACCTGCAGAGCCTCGTCCAGGTCTGAACTCGCCGTGGAATGGAGGACCTCCATCAGAACAGAAAACTAGCGCCCCAATTGGAAGTGGCGCTTGCCAGATGTGGGTCGGTCTGAGGGTGACGGTTGATCCCCTGGAGGGGCAGCTATCTAGAGAATCGCAGGAGGGAAAGAGTGGGGGGGCAAGGTATTCCCAGATGGGAGAGAAGTTTATCTAAATTCCGTCTCTAGCACTCAAATCTAAAGAAGACGTGATTAGTAGTTTCAGAAGCAAGCCTCCCTACAAAGTGCGGTAATTTGCAGGATTTGAACTCAAAGCCAGAAACAAGAAACTTTCTGGCAGAAATACGTAGCACACTATGGCAGATATTTAAAATGAACAAACTTACAGATCTTTTTCTTCCCCTTTCCCCCTCCTGCTTAAAAAAAAAAAACTAAGGAAATAAGAAGTGGATGACCCTCTGAATCTCTGTTATTGAGGAGGTGAGGGAGCAGATAAACCATAAATACATACCAAGTATGTAGCTGGTATCCGTCACCATTTCCCATCCCCTGATGGAGGGCTGGGTCCCCTCAACGTAAGAAAAGTAGCTCAAGTGCTTGCCTGATGGTCCAAGCTGATAAATGTAACAATCTCTTAAAATTGTAGAAGGGCAGTTTCTTGGGGTGATGGTCTTGAACATACACGCCTCCTCCCCTCCAGTACCCACCCTGTGCCACAGACCCACGCAAACCCAACTTCGTTTTTCTCACCTCGATCCAATCTTTTACTAGAAGTTTCTTGCAGAACTATTTTTCCTCCTCATGTCAGTGTGCCTGATTTTTAGAGACTTTGATTCTTGACTCTCCCCCGGAACTCTCAGTAAAGCCTCCCCACCCCCCAACAACTTGTTTCAGATGCACAGACAGACCTCTACCTTAAATTTGTGACAGAAGTTGGAGAAAGTTCATATGAAAACAGCTGAGCCTGCAGAACAAGCCCTGGGTGCTCATCATGTGCAGAGGAACTGCTGCAGAACTTATATCAAGTGTAAAGAGCCTTGAAAATGAGTGGGAAAGGCCCCTGGTAAAGAGAAAATTTGTGTGACATGAAGTCACAAGATTAATAGAATGAGAGATGCTAGTCATTTTTCTGTCATCATGAGCCATAATAGTACCTTGAAGATAAAACCATATTTCCCCAGAGATCTGTTTATTTGTGCTATTTTTGTTTTAAACTTCAGAACTAAAAAAAAAAAAAAAAAAAAACAGAATTTTTGTTCTTCAAATGACTGTCCATTGGCAACTCATCAATTACATGTTTTGCGGAATTGTAGGACTCTTTTAGTAAAATATTAACATATCAAAAAAACTTTAGTCCTCACAATGGAAAACCTTCCTCTAGTGTTTTGGTTTTAAAAAGATTGGGAAAGAGAAATTGTAAACGAAACCACCCCCCTGGCTTGGTCCATGTAATTTGGGAATCCTTACAAAAATGCTGGAGGGAGAGGAAAAACGCAAACTGAGCTCAACACCCATTCTTGGCTTTTAGCAAAGTTTTAACAGATAAGGATCACTCCTTGTTTCTTTTTTTCTTCTTTCCTGCTTTCTGGAATGGGGTTATATATCAATTTATCTTTCAGAATCAAACTCAAGTATGCTTTAACTTCATGGATTTTTACATGTCTTTTTTATATGCTCTGTCCCCTGCCCCCTTTCTGAAAATAGCAAATTGTTGAGAGTATAAAGAAAAAGTGCACATCTCAAACTTTCCCGTACACCCTGCTGAAAAGAAAGAGGATAGAGAGATTCAAGTAGAAGAAACACTAAGATGTCTCCAGCAACACCCCAGAAAAAAAAATTACAAAAATAAGAAAGGTCATCTGTAAGTAAGTTAAAGCCAGAGCCGTCACCTGTAAGTGAAACTGCCCTGCAGAGGTTTTCTGTGTTGTGACCAGGGGTCGGGAGAAAAAAGAAAGGAATCGCCCCTTTGGGAGTGAAAAAGAATGATGTTACTGGTGATGGGGGACAGAGGACAAATTTGTAAGAAGAGGTTACCGAGGGATATTTTTTTGTACCTGTCTTCACAAATCCCCCTAGCAGCTTGGAGAAGATCTGGAAAGCGAGGCGAGCAAGGTGAGATGAGGAACTCGGAGGGAGGCTGGCGCGGCTTCAGCCCCTTTGTGAGAAGTGCAGGGGTGTCTCTTTCTACAGTTTTCCTCACTTCTGAGGCTGGAATCATAAATTCAGGTGGCCGCCCCTCCGCTCCTGTCCATCTCCTTTAGCAAACCTGACATAGCAGAAGAAATATGACATGTGAATTATTAAAGAGGAGCTAGTTGACTTTTAACCCTGATTACCTTTCTTAGATGCCACTGCCTGCAAGTTTATCTAGCCATATACTGCCAGAATTACAGGGCGTGCCAGGCAGGGGGAAGAGAGGAGAAAGCAAAGCTGGGATTTTGTGCAAATATCAGGGAAAAGCAGAATGCTTTACCTTCCTATTTATGTCACTTTAAGGGATGAGTACTATGTTACAGGCAACAAACCACTCCTAGTCCAAGAAAGAAGTCAATTTCTCTGAACCTGAAAGAGACAAAATTGAAAGAATCCAGCATCGCCCCTCCTTATATCCTTCTGTTCTCAGTTCCTTCTGGCCGAGCTTCCCAGAACTTTAATTTTTGTTACCTTTAACCTGATTTAAATGAAGTCTTAACTTTATGAACAGTAATCACATAACCAGCTCTCCTCTGAATCTTCTTCCTCCTCCCCCTCCCCTTTGGATACAACTCCTGTTTTTGCTCTGTTCCAAACACTTCTCAAAAGGGAAGCAACATTGTTCTATATGCTTTTAAAGATAGCTCAAAGACCCTAAATTGAACTCTTTCAAAACTTTAGAAAACATACAGGGACTATTTAATTTAGGCAACCGATATTACAAAAATCAGCAATAATCATTCAGGCATTCAAACAAAAGTTTCTCTGTACTAATTAGGCAACCATTATTCTGAGGGGCTTGAGTAACACGCCAGCTGTGGTTAGGCTAAAACAGGAAGGAATTTTTGAACACTTAGGGGTGTCTTCTTCTTTTAAAATTAGCAAGAGGAGAGTTGGAGTCAAAATAATAATAATAATGATTGCTTAGTGCTTTGGGCATAGATTTGTGTATCCTGTTGCCAGGGTGAAGGCAATAATTGAACCTATCCCAAATCTGAGTGATGGAGTAGTCAGAAATGACTCCACGTGACAGAAGAGCCAGGAGGCAAGTGATGGATACTATTGTCCAAACGTGACCCTCCATTAACACCACCTATCAGCATCTGGATCCTGTCACTGTGTCCCATCCCTGAGCCAAGAGGGCTGCCTGGCATATTCCTAGCTCTTCAAGGGCTTGCAGGCTGCGGTCAACCCCGCATCAACTAAATGCGTGGGGAGACTGACCCAAACCTTGCTCTCTCTCTCTCCAACTCGCCTTATTACCCCTCTCCAGGCCCATTGTTCAGCAGGTGCTGGCAAGTTGCTCCTTATCTCGCCTCTGTTTATGAGGGCTTTTTATTAATAACAAAGGGAGAGATGGTATTAATATTAATTAACACAATAAAATGAAACAGTTTGGAGAATCCACCAAACGAATCACCTCCTCCTCTAATTGGAGCTGGAGAGAAAAGGGGAGGAGGGGAGAGGAGGGGAAAGGAGGGGAGGTGAAGGGGAGGGGGAGGGGAAGATACAGATGACCTACTGGGTGACAGGCACAGGTTGGAAGGGTGACATTTTATTGTAAGCCTCCCAATGAAAGGAAGAAAAGGAAGGGACCAGTCAATTTAATGCAGGGACCAAGAGTGCAAGGGTGTTGCTAAGAGACAGGGATGCTGCTAAAGTTCTATCAGAAGCACTACTCTGACCTTATGCAAATTGAGGCGGCCCACGCTTTGTGGAGCGGCTGAAAATTCCACCCTCTGTGTCACCAATACCTGGCATCCAGCCTTTTATTCAAATGTTCTCTAAACACACACACACACAGGATGTAACAAAGCAAGACACATTTAGGGGCTGTAAAAAACACACACACACAGACAACATGGGGGGGATACTCAATGGTCATATTTAAAACCAGGGAGGAAAATCAACATCAGATCTTCCTGCGGAAATGTCACCCATCTTTACCTCTTGGCACTATCATTTTCCTTTAGCTGAAAAGTAACCTAAAGATTCAGAAATTGTCTTCTCTTTGCAGAAATGAAGCTTATTAAGCACCACCCTGGCTCTCAAAGTAGTGTCTTAATTTACACCCCAGGGGTGTGTGGAGAGGATGGTGTGTGTATGTTGCGGGGGGGGGCCGGGGGTGCAAAAGCCCCGTGCAGACTGGTAGGCATGCTTTCCCTTCCATTTTTACGATCCACCCTAGGACAAATGTTAAGTGCAAAAGGCCAGAGGTTTGAAGACCAGTTGGGTCTTCCAGGAAGTTGACTGTCGTCGCAGTTGTATAAAGCGGCAATCTCCAGCGGATGTCACTGGGGCACCTACGGCACATATCCCACGCCACACCCCCGCCCCAGGCGCCCCACGAGGCGGGACTGGGCCCGGATGCGGGAGAAGATGCTGGCCCGCGGGGTCAGGCGCGCAGGTGGTGGAAGGCGCAGTCGCTGTCGCCCGCCTGCCCTGCAGGGGCGGGGACGGAACCGGCCCGCGAGGCAGTGCGGCCGCCGGGCCTCGGGCTGGCGCCTCTCGGGACCACTGCAGTGCTGGACCCGGGGTCAGGTTTGTGCACCAGCACATCCAGCGGCCCAGGCCAAACTCCCTCTCCATCTGCCTTTCTCTCTTCCTCTCTTCAGTCCATGTTAGCATTTGTCCTCCCCAGCCTGGTCACACACAAACTCGAGGAAAACGAAGCTCGGTTCCCAGGCCAGTGGGAAAACCACTGACCTTAAGGGTGGCAATCCTGAGAAGTCTCAGGCGACTCGCAAAGCTCTTTGCGGGGACTTTGAATTCTCTGGGGCCACCGCACCCCCACCGCTGCAGCTTTGGGAAGGTCTGGGGCTTTGGGCTCGTGCGGAGGGCAAGCTAGGAGCAATCACCTATGCAATCACCCCGAGTCTCCTGCTGATCCCTCCCTCCCCTGCTCCCCAAGGAGGACAGAGGCATCTCTGAGCCACGGCAGAGCACCAACACACACAGACACGCACACACAAAACGTTGCAGACTCGATTTAACCAGCGAGCTTGTTACCCACTCCATTCCCTCCCTCACTGTTGACTTCGATATTGATAAAATACTCGCGCGTTCACGTCTTTCTGGAAACAGTGCAAATGAATACATTTAACGACTCGGGGGGGCGTTTCCTGGCTTCTGCGGGCGGTAACTTCCCCGGGTAACTTCTCCTTAGGACCCTCCCGCCTCCCTTCTTAATGGTGGGCCTTTTCATAATGGGCACACTACTATTAAAATTTCATATTAGCAGTGTGTATGGTGAACTTTGTAATGGGAAATTCAATAGCTGCTGTAAATATTAATGGAATATGAAATGAAGCCACAGCCTCGACCAGCCCTGGCAGTAAAACCCGCGAGCATGTGGCGGCCCCGGGGCGAGAAGGGCCTTTCGTCTTGTCTCGCTCGTTTTATGACATGAGCACGGGGCTTCCCGCGCCGGCGCGGCCTCAGAAGCCGAGGTGCTGGGTCACCCTTGACAAATGTCCCCGTGTCTTGCCAACAGGCCCCCGCCCGGCCCTGCCACTCCTGTCTGCCCCACAGGCCCCGGGAGAGTGCTTGCGGGTGTCCTTTTCAGGTAAAGAGCTCTGGAAAGCGCCAAGTCCCCCCCCCCCCCGCCCCCCGCCCCGCAAAGATTACAGGATCCCAGCGCCTCCTCCAGCAGGGGCAGCCCCGGGTGCAGCCAGTGCAGGACAGGTCCTCGCCCGGAGATGGAGGGAACCCAGGCAAGTTTGGGGGGATGGAAATCGCGGTCAAGGTCGGCCGGATCCATATCTCCCATCCTCATCCCCATTCCCTCCCCGCCTCCCGCCCAGAGGACCCGGCTCGGCAAGGGAACCGGGGCTCGGTAGGGCGTCTGGGAAGGGACTCTGGGAAGCAGTCCAGGCCGCGCGTTCGGGTCCCGCGCATTCCCGGGGTCTCGACGTGTCCCCACGTGAGCTCGAGTGGCAAAGGCCGCCCGGGAGATCCGGCGACGAGGTGGGGCGGGGGGTGCAGGGGGGCGCTTGGTAGTGATCTACGGGCGCTCGGACTCCAGGAGCTGGGTCGCCAGTGCTTGCCCCCGGGTTCGGGCGTGGGTCTTGGGCAAACCGGAGGGGCCTCCGGCGCCCAGGTTGGATCAGTTCCGAGCGGCCGTCGCCGCCGAGGAGGGTCGGGGGAGGCGCGACTTGCTGACAAACGTGGCCGTCAACACCTCGGGCTTCCCCGGCGAGTTGTTTCAACAGGCTGGGAGAGATCGGTACTTTGAGTGGCAGGCGACGCCTTTCCTCACTCCCGGTATTTGTGGTGTACCGACAGCACTTCGGAGAGCTTAGTTTTAGATGGGACATTAATCTTGTTAAGAGATAGCCTGTCAGCGTCGGCCTGGGGCCTTTCCCTCTCTCTGAAGACACCCCCCTCCCATCCTTACCCCCCGGAACCCGACACTCCTCGCCGGGTCCGACACGGGCGCCCGGGGTGGCGGGTCCACGTCGGGGCTAAACGGGGGCAGGGCGAGACGCCCTCAAGAAGGTTCAAATCAAAATGGACTTAAATGACAGCGGAGCCTGGGTCCTGGCACCTTCACCCCCATCATTTTTTGCCTGTTTGCGAGTGGGGAGAGGGGAGGACTTTATCAGAGCAGGGAGTTTGTTCTCAAGTCACCAAGCACGCAGGCGAGACCCCCTGGCTGCGAAGAACTCCGGGCAACTGTTTTCCTATTTTTCCTTCGACTGACCCCCAGGTGTCATCGCTGTGGAGTCTTCCATCACCTCCCCCCTTAGCATCAGCCCTATGGGATCACGTTTCTCTCCCGTTCCCCACTTTTAAATGATTTCCTTTCCAGTTATCCCGCCCCCCGCCCCGCCCCGCCCCAGTTAATCCAGGATAGTTTCTCCTGCGCTCCAGATGCAACAAACTGCAGAGATGAAATGAACTGAAATAAGAACGGAATTGACATAGCGTGGGTTGGTTTTGCACCAGGGGTTTCACTGCGGGAATAGTTTCAACAAGGCATTCGCGTTTTCCAGATCCATCGAAAAGCTTCAGGTGGGGGTTGCATCCTCACCGAGCCTCTGAACAGTCCTCCCACCCTCACCGCTGTTCCTTGTATCACCCCCGCTCCCCCTCACCCCTACCCCACCAAGTTAAATAGCCTTGCCTCTCTGTTTCTCTTCTTAAATCTTCTTCCTTCCTCCAGGATAGTGCATCTTTTCCTTCTTGCCCTTAAAAGAGTTGCACTTTAAAAGAAGATTAAAAAAAAGACCAGAAATGGATATAGGTTTTGTAAGTGTTAAATAACTTTCTCAGCGTGTATTAAAGGAAGATTGTATTTTATCAGCAGCTGATTGATGCAGCCCTATGATCCTGTCGGTTTGTCTATAGTATCATATTTATTTAACCTGCTGGGGGCTGTGTTCAGGGGCCGCCTGTTCACGCTGACAAGAGCATGCACATTACACACTACTCCAGGTATTTTGATTGATTGTTCCCACCCCAAAGCCTTTGGTTCATAATTTAGCACAGCAGGTTTTGCATCACAGACTAGGTTTCAACAACAACAAAAATCCTGTAAGAGATTTCAATGAACAACTACCGCCAAGAAACCTTTCTCCACCTGCAACCCCCAAATATTTTAAGTACCTCCTGAGATGGTTCAGTTGGTATAATTACAGGGCACACAACCTTTATTTACCCTGGTTCCCTAAGTGTGATCAGATTATTCATTTTAATTTGTAGCTGGACCAACATTTCCTTAACTGTGGGTGGCACAGGAAGTGGGGTGGTGGTGGTGAAAATGTCAGATAGCGTGGGCTTTTCTTTTCTTCTCTTTGGCTCTCTTTCTTTCAATAACAGGTTTGAGATGTGGAAGCAGTAGAAAGACAGACGAAGTGGCTCTTTTGCACAGTCTCCTGAGGCTGCGTTGGGAATGAGTTCATAGCATCCTTTGGCAGTAGACTAGATTTTTACTACCTCTAAATGCCCCCATTGTACCCTGTGGTTAAGGCAAGATTTTTAAATAAGTGATGTCCTGTTCAATGTATGGAATAAACTTCTTAATATTTGTGTCTTTTCAAATAAATAATTCTAATGATCTGGGCACATCCTAGTGGTTCTGAAATTTTTGATCTGAAATTAGCATTGCCTATTGAAGGACACATGAGTAGTTACTTCCTATATGGTTTCTTATAAAAAGGCGACTTCCCCTTGACTTCTTTTTAAACCAACAGCAACAGAGCACACATATATGTATACTAACTAAACTAACCTTGAAAAACAATGTATATGTTTTGCTACAATGAAATGGGACATATTTTTTTGTGCATCTTCTTGGATTTTTATATTCTGGTTAGCAATGGTTTTGTGTGTATATGTAAAAGCAAAATTTCAAAATGTGTGCTATTTTCTAGTAATAGAGATGTTGTTTGTTATGCTTGCTATTTTTACATTTGTCCTTTAGAAACTCTTGGAATTACTCCCAAAGCCTGGAAAGGCAATCTTAGCACTGTATCTCTTTGTCTATTAGAGTCTCATTTTGTTGTTCTAGGTCAGATGAGAAGATTTTTACCAAAGTGGTTTACTGCATATTTACATAATGCTGCACTGCTGGGGGGGGGGTGGGTGGGTGGGTAGGATTTAAAAAAGATGTCAAGTGGATAGTCGCCCCTCAATAATACAATGCATTTAAAGTGTTTTTCCCCTTCAGCTCTTAGGTTAACATTGGGGAAAAATTATGTATCTGGTGATGGCAGAGATTCCAACATTTATAATTAACACTTTCTTCCCCATCCATCTATCCATCCATCATGCATGCAGCCATCCTTCACTTTTCCTCATTCTTAAATATGAATATTCACAAAGTGTACCTTTTGGCTTGATTGTATACTTTATAATGATGGTAAAGAAATTAACCAGTGTGATCCACACTTCCCATTCCAGTTAATATTTCCTTTTATCGAATGTCCCTTTTATTTGGAACAGGTTTAGGAGACCCTAATGGTAAATCATCCTTGCTGATAGCATCTTATTCAGCGACGTATTTTTATCCCTAGATGTTGCTATTTACCCTTAGTTGATGCTTGATGACAAAAACCAAAATATTTACAAAACTCCAGGAGATGCATCTTTCTGCTGAGAAAAACAGCCGTTATCAAAAGTCAGTACAGACACAATATCCGGAGAGTAGGAGAAAGGGCAGGCTGATAAAGAAATATTAATCTCTGACTCAGCGGCAGCCACAGGGTAGGAAGGCAGATCAAGCAAGGTGAAGAAAAGGCCAATTTGTTTGTGATGAACCAAATCTACACATTTTAATCACTCGAGCTAAGGAGTTTTGAGATACTTTGTGAATCAACTTGGAGCCATGTTTCCAAAATGTTTGTTTTGCCTTGGTTTGAATTGAAAATAAATCTTTTATAGCCATCTACCACCATGTTTCTTTAATAGAGGGTACATTACTCCTAACAAGGAAGAAACTACTTTCACATGTTGGCTGTCTCCTGGGGACTCAAATAAATTGGGTCCTATTTCTTTTCAAGGGGCCCCTTTAACCATGCTCATGTGCTCCCAGACAGACACATATATTAGTACAAAAGAACGTCTTTGAAGTTTAGTCACTTCTTAGCTCTGTAGCACCAGACAAGTCACTTCATTTCTTTGTCCCTCAGTTTCCTCATCTGGAGAAATTATAATAGTACCTGTCTGAGGGGTTGCTATAAGGAGTGTGTTAACATGTGTGAAGAAGCTCTTAAAGCAGTACCCCCCACATACTTATATCTAGATTTGCATCTGCTATTATTATAGCCCATAGTATGCGTTAGTGTCTTACTAACATCATTACTGAAAACAATAGTTTTACTTATGGTCACTTGGATTGTTGTGACTCTCCTCCAAATTTAAAGTGGTTCTTCTAAGGCATTGTGTTCAAATCTGCATTGTACTAAAGTGCAAAATCATCCCAGAAGGAGCAAATTGATTACTATGTTTCTCCCTGTCTCCCTAGGCCCCAAACACACTTAGTAGCCTTTCATGCAAATGCCAAGCTAAGGTGCCACTCCAGGGCATGGTGGGTACAGCCACTGAAGTGTTTGTACATCGAATAACAAGAAGATTCCACCAAAAGTCTGTAAAAAGGAAAACATCTCTCCAGCTACCCTGCTAAGGCTGTCAGCATGCCCTTCCTCATTTTATCTTTCATATCTAAGCCCTTCATAACATATGTTAATATCCTCTGGGTTTCAGGATATGGTTTTGTACGTGTGGGGCAGTGTCCTCCGTTTGACTGTCGAAGGCAAACAGAAAGTGATGCTTCCCCATACTAGGTTAGGATATTGATTAAAAACTAGAATCTTGATGAGAAGGTGAATGGAATTAAATAATAAAATTCCGGGGCGGGGGTGGTGGTGGATTTATCCACATGTCAACTTCTGAAATTTAGACAAAACCAATTTCAGTGGGGAATAGCATCAGCACTATGGAATATCTGACTTTTTGGTTTTGAGTTAATCTATTGCCGTTTCAGAGAGTAACTTGAGATCAGAGCTAAAGTGAAACCAGAGTGCTTGAAAGGCTGCTAACAGCATGCCCCCCCACCTACTCTTTAGGTTACCCCACATGGAGACAGAATATGACTTGCCTTTGTTACTGTTAGGTCACAGAACCTCAGATATGAATAGTTTTCATTTATGTCACTCCCCAAACTAAATCATGCAAACAAGGCGGACAGGAGCTAATGTTTTCTTACATGTGTTAACATCGAACTTGCCACTTAGAACCACACCCCTCAATTCCCTAAATCACCATCCCACATCCCTTTCATATCTTTTCTTTTCAACCTTCTCCATAGTGTAAGACAGTCTTTTCCCACCCTATACACACTGAGAATCCATGAAATTCTGGCAGCCGAACTTTCCACGAAGAGTCCAATAAACTGGTATGTACTTTGCTCGTCCACTGAAATATTTACTCTTATTAAGGCATGTGTCATCAACCTATTTAATTAAAATAATGAATCTCACATGTTGAAACTCAGCTTCAGTGTTAAGTATCTTCACATTTTAATTAGTTTACTCTGTTAGGTCAGAGAAAGGTAACTTTAGTGAAATAAACATAACTTCCAATATCTCTTTTCATGACCATTCTACAGGGCTAGAAGGATACTTTAGTTTTCTCATATTTGGACTAATAATAGCTTAAGTTGCCTAAAACATACTAAACAAAGATATTAGAATGTCCCCAGAAAGGAAAACACATCACAGTGATCTGTGATTTCCTGTATGTGAATGCTGAAATTTAAGGGAAAATATACATTCTATTTTAAACATTGCTCCCTTTGAGA